CCCCCCTCCCACTGTACCTGCTGAGCCCCTCTCTGGGCTGAGCAGTGAGAACCTGCACCAGAGACAGGCAGAAGAGCCAGCCAGTCGAGTCTAGAGTCTGGAGCTAGGCCGCCCAGGTTCAAATCCAGCTCCATCGCTAGCTGTGTGACTTAGATGTGTCACTTGTTTATCCTTCTGGTCCTCAGTGCCTTAGGAGTAACATGAGGAGGAAGATGGTCCCTACTGCATGAGGATGCTGCGGGGCTTAAGTGAGTCACTAAGAGCAGAGGGCCGAGGACACCCAGCATGAGCTATGACTCTGCATCGACCTGTGCGTTACAACGCTGGAGCACCATGGACAGGGGTCTAAAATCAAAGGACTGTTTACTGAGAAATTAAATGATAATTGAATAATCTTTTTAATGTCTATCTCTGTTCTTGAGACCAGGCGGCAGGTGGCTGACCTGGCCGCTGACGAACGAGGTGGCCCCTACCTGGAAAAGGTGTTGTCAAAGATGAGCATGTAGATGCCTGGCGTGCGGGCCTTGAGCTGGCCCTGGATGTTCTCCCTGTGGGAATTGCATCGGGTCGTGGGAATGAGGACCTGGGAGGAAGAGCAGAAGAGAGAAGTCATCGCCGAGGCTGAAAGGCCCCTGAGTCATCTGGGCACACCCTTCACTGCGGGGAGGGAGGCCCTGGCTGAGGTCGAAGCTGAGCCGGGCTGGGATCGGCCCCCAGGAGTGGTGGGGCGCCTGCCACATGCCGTGGGTTTGCTGATAAGATAACTTGTGTGTTGGGAGGGGGCAGGCTGTAGGCACGAGTTTTATCCGGAGTCATGAACTGGTCTGCACCCCAAAGGAGTGGTCCCTGGCCACCTCTGACCATGGCAGTGCCAGAGCGTCCCGCCATGTGGAGAAGCTGGGGCTTATCGTAGGTGAAATCCATCTGTCTGGCTGTCCCCTGTTGGCCCCGGATTTACACAAAACAATGGTTTTCAAGACACCGGACGTCAGGCAACGAAGGACAGTGGATCCCAGAGAGAACGAGGTGAGCCGTAGACTGTCCTAGCTTACTGCTCTGACAGGAAGAGGGGACCGGCACCAGATGGGACTAACAGAAAACAAAGAGGAAGATGATACACTCAGACGCAACCTTATCAACAACCCCACTAAATGTAAAGGCTCAGCATCCCAATTGAAAGGCAGAGATGATCAGGTTGGATGAAAGCGAGACCCAACCCCATCATGCCTACAAAAAATGTTAATTTACATATTAAGATACAGTATAAGGTTACAGTATAAGGATGTTAAAATACCCACCAGGCTTGCACTAATCAAAACGAAGCCGGATGGACTACATAGATATCAAAGTAGATTTTATATCAGAGAATATGATCGGGGATAATTTCATAATGACAAAGATGTCAATTCATCAAGAGGAAATAACAATCTTATACATTTATGCTGCTGATTAATGGAGCTTCGAAACACATGAAACAAAAAGTGGAAGAATTACAAGGAAAATAGAACTAATTCACGATTACAGTTGGCTATTTCGACCTCCCTCAATAACTGAGGGAATAAGCAGACAGGAACTCAAGGAAAGAGAAGCCTTGAACAACGCTATCGACCGACTGCGTCTGATATCACGGAACATTCCGACCCAGCAGCGGACGCACTCTCTTCCCAAGTGGACTCGGAGTATCCGGCAGGCAGGTCATACCCTAGGCTGTTAAAAAACACTCACGTTTAGAAGCATTCGAGTTATACACAGCGTGTTTTCTAACAACAGAACAAAATTAGAAATAGACAGCAGATCTCTGGAAAATCCCAAAATATTTCGAAACGAAATGACACACGGGTCAGAGAAATGAAAGGGAGTCCCCACGGCAGGCTCGCTCTGGCTGGAAGGTGGTGGCGCTGGGAGCAGGATGGGCCCTAAGACAAGTTTGGAGGGGACAGAGACGCACGAGGACCTACTACGTGTGGGCTGTGACGGCCACTTCTGTACCTTATCTCACTGAGTTCCATGAACGGTCCGCAGGATTCTAATTCCCCTGGGGACTGGGAATCCTGGGCGGCGGAGCAGGTGGGTCTGTTACTAAAACTTCGGAGCCTGGCCTGAGACGCGCCAGTGAGCGCACGCGCAGGAGGGAGCTGCCGGAGGGGAAGGCTGCCGCGTGCACCCCACGGCCCCCACCTTCACAGTCACGGCCTGATCACAGAGCCACAACCAAGGGCCCCTTAAGGCAGGGCCTCTGAAGAGGCGAGGTTTGAAATACTACTCTTCATTTCTTGAAAACATCCTATTCTGTAGACTTTTTGTTCATTCCAGATGGGTTTGTTTTTTTTTTAATCATGGTCAAAATCTGTAAAATTTTCTCATTGCTAATTTTTCATACCTACATACCTACACACACACACACACACACACACACACACACACACACACGTCTCTTAAAAATCAGGGAGATTAACAAAGGCTCTGGTATCAAAGCTCATGCAGCCAGGGGCCTCTGAAGACAGGTCTCCACTGTGAGCTCTGGGGACATCTCCCATCGGCCTCTGGGGCAGGAGTGGCCATGCCCTGATTTATGTGATGTGTCTGCAAAACGATCCCAAGTCTGCTCTACTGACCTCCCTGGGGACTACAGCGGCTTGGGGCCCTGGTACAAAGCAGGGGTTCTAGGTTAAATGGAAAAAGTCGGTCACAAAGTCCTTATGTTGGGTGATTCCACCGACACGAAATGTGCAGAACGGGTGAGTCCGTAGACAGAGAGCAGGCTGGAGGTTGCTGGGGTGGAGGCTGGGTTGTTGACTGCTAATGGGTCTAGAGATCTTTTTGGGATGATGAAAGTGATCTAAAAGTAGATGGTGGTGATAGCTGCACAACTAGAAAAAACCCCAATGAATTGTATGTTTTAAAAAGGTGATTTATATGGTATGTGGATTATATCTCGAAAAAGCTACTTAAAAAAATAAAAAGTTAAAAGTCCTTGCTCTGAGTCTGGTTCCTCCCCTGACTCCCTCTGTGGCCCTGGGCAGGCCATCAAGCTTCTCGGGCCAAATGTGGGTCCTTTGCCTGGAGGGAGGGCAGGGTCCGTGTTCTGTTCTCTGACTGTCCCCAGGCATCAGGCCACCGCTCTGCACGTGGGCAGCCTCAAGTCTTTGATGTACTGTTTCTTTTATCAAGTGCCTTCCCCAAATTCACCATCTCTAATCTTGGTGTCAAGCCATGACCTTGATGAAGTCACTCTGGAGAGAGGGTGGCTCAGGGTGGGGAGTGTCTAACAGGGGCCACTAGAGATGGGGCCAGCCTTCCGCTGTGCTGCTCCTGGCTAGCTGCTTCTCTAACCCGTGTCCCCACATGCTTCTCCTGGTTTGGCCCGGGGGTCTCCTGCCCTGATCGCTGGTCCCCAGGATGGGTTAGGTGCCCTTCTTAGGCACCCCCCCAGAGCCCACCCACCCCGATCATGACGCCACCCGGAATCACAGCTGTCTGTTTACTAGGGTGTCTCTCTGATTACACTGGGGCTTGGCAAGAGCAGATCACATCGTCCCTTCTCTCTGTCCCCAACGGGGGAACTGAGTGTGCAGCAGCAGCTCAGTAAGTGGTTGTGAACGGATTACGGGCACACAGCATGGTTCCTTGTGTCTGCACCTCCCCGATCGTGAAACTTAAGAGCTGTAATTGGCACGGCATCCTGTTGTTTCTCATAAGGCCCAGGCCGGTCAGGGGATCACATGGGGAGCCCCCAGGACAGATGCTGGGGATGTGTGCCTGGAAACAGGTTCGCCAGGCTGATGTCTTTTTGGGGGACCTCAGGCAGAAATAACCACCGCCACCCACCGCTGCCTGCTGACAACAGGCCTGTGAAGGCAGAGGCGCATCTGAGCACCCAGCTCGCTCACCCCATAGACGGGCAACTTCTGCCCCCTGGCGTCCGCTGTGGGAAGGACACTGGGAGCATAACCCCCGGAAGGCCTCCTGGAAGCCAGAGATGAGGACCGCAGCCCGGGACCCTGAGCTCTTGGCAGGAACCACATGAGGACTTGGCAGGGGAGGGACTGAGCAAGGGGGGAGGCCCATGGCTCAGCCACATGTGGGCAGTGGAACAGCAAAGGCCTGGACACCTGATTTAGTCGCCTCCCTCCCGCCCTGCCGCAAGCGCCCACCAGTGTCTAGTCTGGGCAGACGCAGTGCTAGGTGCTTCGGGCCTTGGGAACAGGGACGTGAGGTGAGGGGCACAGGTGCTGGTGTGAGTTCTTGGCAGTGAGGCCTTGTCGCTGCCACTGCGCATCAGTCTCCCCACCCGCAAGCGGGGACGAAGACCTGCCCAGGTGAGGCCCCCTCCCCATGCACAGTCCGCAGGGGAGCCTGAGCCCACTCTCGGACTGCACGCCCAGGACCTCCCGGCTGGAGGTTCGCAACCTCTCAGGCAGGGAGGGCTCCGAGCTGGGGAGGTGACATGGCTGCCAGCCCCCGAAAGCAGAAGGCAGAGCAGTGTTCAAACAAAAACGAACCTGAGACTCCGATGCATAAGGCCAGCTCGGGGCCTAGAAGGACATGTCAGGAGGGAATCTGAGAAGGACAGAAATGACAAAGCAATTCCCACGGGGAGCAGGTCCCGACCAGGCAGGGCGGCAGGAGAGCAAGCCCACGTGGACAGCCGCTCCTCCGCGTGGACGCCACCACGTAGGCAGCAGCTGGTCCTCCTTCAGCCCCGGGCCTTCCCGGCCTGCACTGAGCCCAGGGCACCCACCCTGGGGGCCACGTATGTGAGGAACAAATGGACATTATCACAAAGACATCACAGAAGTGTTGCTTAACATGACTCCAAACTGCTGGTCACTATCGTGATTCTTGTCATTCCTGGAAAATAGAGTGCTGGTGACCGTATCAACAGCCCTGAGCTCCCTCCGGCATGTCTGGCTGTCCTCACCATCCCAGGCCAGCTCCCCCTACCTCCCCCTGCACCCTCTCCCTGCAGAAGCAGGCACGGGGCTCCCACCCTCCCCTGCTTCCTCGCCACACACTTGATCAGCCGCCACGGGTCCCATTCACCTTCCTGTGCTCTGGACTGCACCCCGCCTTCTCCACTCCAGCTTCCTCCCCTCCATCTGGCCCAGTGGGTCACGACCTTGGCTGCTCACTGGCACTGCCCACGGATGCCTGAGTCCCATTCCCCCGATTCCGATTTAGTGGTCTGGGGTGTGGCCTCACGGTGGGTTTAAAAAGCTCCCTGTGTGTTTGCACTATGCGGCCTGTGTCCGGGCTGAGAACCGTGGTCTGGGCCACAGTCCACATTCCAAGCTTAGAACGTCTTAGTTTATGAACTGATATCTGCCACCAAGATTTTAAGCCCAATCGCCCTAGTGACACAATGGCTGTGTCTCTACTGACGTTTTCAAGGTGAGATTCTGAACACTCCACTAACCAGAGGCAGAGATCTCAGTCACCCCCCACTCCAACGTGACCCATTCTCGCTCTGCATGGCTCTGTTAAAAAATTATCCTTAAACCGAGTCACACTCCTGTATTCCTCCAAGTTTCACCTACTGATCTACCCCAAGGTCAGCATGGAGCTGTCTGACTAAGGAGTGACCTTCAGACATTTGAAGACAGCTCTCCTGAGCGTCCAGGCCTTTCCTTCCCTACGCTGGACAAGCCCAGGCGCTCGGCCTGCTCTGCACGACGCGTCCCAGAAGGCTCTCCCACCCTGGCTTCTCTCACGGCAAGGGCCCACGGGCGGGGAGCCGGCCCTACCTTGCACTGATCCAGTGGTGTGTCCTCTGCCTCGCGGAAGACCACGCTGAAGGAGATGCTCTTGGGGTCGGAAGAGAAGACCCAGCTGATGGTGAGGCCCGCCTCGGCCACAGTGATGGGGATGAGGCTGTAGGTACTGGACCGTACAAACAGCTCCCTGTTGCCTTCCCCGAAGTTGGCGATCTCTTCTACTGTGAGGGGCAATTTTATCCTACAGAACAAATGCAGAGAGGGATCTGATCGAAGTGGGCCCAGTGTCTGGGTCTGCCGGTCAGGTGGCCTGGGGCTCAGAGGTGGCCAGAGACCCCGGGGGCCCTTGAGAAGATGAGCCCCGGGTGACCTCGACCAACATGCTTAATTATGGGAGAAAACTGGATGCGCGGCTCAGGCCAGACGTTTCCCGAGCACCTACTATGCGCCTGGCATAGTTCTAGGCATCGGGGACATGGGTGGAAAACACGGATGACAAGCCTCGCCTGGACGGAGCTGCCGTGGTGCCCACAAGGCCCTCGGGGACAGGAAGTGAGTGCAGAGGCATCGGCTCTCTGCGGCTCTCCCTGTCCTGTTGCTCGATTGTCCCCACTCCTCTTTCCAGCGCCCCGTCTCCCCTTTTATCTGATCAGCACCGGCAGAAACACACCCATCAGAGAAACGCAGAGTCCACGTGGAGACCCTGACCTTTCTTAACTGCGACACCCAGACTCTCTCATGCAGGGCTGGTATGACGACCTTGGGGATAAAGGCTTCTTGGGGACTGTGTCCCAGGCTCTAACCCTCACTGGGTGGATAAGAGCCTTTTCTAAAAGTCTAAAGTGTTCGGTGAGTCCCTCTGCAGGACCCCAGTGTGATGTGGGGAAGCGCGTGTGGAGCCAGAGGGACCTGCGCAGATAAGTACCCGCCCCACTTACCTGCGCAGGCTGATGCTCTCCTCATCTGCAAACAGGGACAGCCCTGCCTGCCTCCCGACTGGTACGAACAATACACAGGCATGAACTCGACACGAACAAGAAGTCTCCCGCGCGCTGCCCCTGGAGACCGAGTGGCGCCCCCTCCTGCTGTGTCCCTCCAGAGGCAGCGCGTTGCTCGGGGCTACCGCTTAGAATTGGTGTGGCCTTGGGCCAGTCTCGTCCCGTCAACTGTGAAATGGGACGGTGCTGGCCACTACGTGCCAGGCCCTCTGCTCGCTGGCTTCCGTGTTATCTCAGCGGCTACGTGAGGAAGCGTCTTGCTCCCATTCCGCACAGGAGGAAGATCGTGTGTAAAAGATTAAGAGCCTTGATCCAGGTCCACACAGGTCTGACCCAAAGCCATCACCTTTCTACTACACCAAATGGCCTTTCACGGAGAAAACATGTGACTGTCCCCTCTAACACCAGGGGGGAAACTAAAGCTCAGAGAGGTTAGGTAACCTGCCCAAGACTGCGCAGCACGTAAGCGGAGGTGCCGAGCGTTCTGTCTGCCCCCCAACACGGTGGGGATGGACGGAAATACCCCAAAGCCATGCTAATGAGAAGACTGATCAATGATTAAAAAACCCCGGTGCTCTAAAGAACAGCTCTGATCTAAGTCTCTCAGCTTCGTGAGGATTTAATTCCATGTAACATGTTTCTATGTGTTAAGCTTCATTTCTAACATGGTAATAAAGGCTTTGTCCAATATTTACAGTTTTCGAGAATCAGAGGGGTTCACTGAGGAAGAGGTCTTTGCTCTAACATGAAACGTCACTGCATGACCACATACGCGTCGCTTACTGGGGCAGAAAGCCCTGCCATGCTGGGCCATTTCATAATTTTATGTTCCAGAACCCTCGCCCTGCATCATTATTTGACTTATGCCTTTAGTCTTATTAACCTTTCTAGACACCACCTGGTCAGTGAAAGGACAATACTCAGTCTCCCCAAAGGAAATGCTAATAAAAACACATCAAGGGATTGCCATCTCTGCTCAATTATAATCTTAAATAAAAGAAGCCTATTGTCTAGAGCAGCGGTCCCCGACCTTCGTGGCACAAGGAACCAGGGCTCCTATGAGAACCTAATGCCTGATGATCTGAGGAGCTGAAGGGTGACGCCAGCGCTGGGGAGCGGCTGCAAATACAGATGAAGCTTTGCTTCGGTTCCGGTCCACAGCCCAGGGGTTGGGGACCCCTGGTCTACAGGACTCACATCATAGATGTAAAAGCTACTGGTGTCGCTACTTTTACCCTCATCTCTCCCTAGTCATTCTCCACATGGCAACCAGAGTGATCCTTTTTAAGCTGAAGGGTGACGCCAGCGCTGGGGAGTGGCCGCAGATACAGATGAAGCTTTGCTTCGGTTCCGGTCCACAGCCCAGGGGTTGGGGACCCCTGGTCTACAGGACTCACATCATAGATGTAAAAGCTACTGGTGTCGCTACTTTTACCCTCATCTCTCCCTAGTCATTCTCCACATGGCAACCAGAGTGATCCTTTTTCAGGTGTAAATTAGATAAGTTGCTCTTCTGTCCCAAATCTCATTTTGGGGCTCCCCCTTTCCTCAGATTGAGAACCGAAGTCCTCACGATGGCCAGCGAGGTCTGAGGTGACATGGACGCCCGTCCTTCCCTTACTAGGTCTCCCTCGCTCTCTCTGCTTCAGCTGCCCTGGCCCTGGCCCTTGAACATGCCAGGCCCCTGCCCCAGGGCCTTTGCATAGACTCTTCCCCTCAGACACCGCACGGAAACGCCTTCGAGTCTTACCTGCTTAGTGTCGCTGTGTAAAACTGCAAACTCCCCTCCCCTTAGCCTACTCCGCTTCTTTCCCACAGCCAGCACCACCTTTTAACATTCTGTATGATTTATTTATTTACTTATGTTTATTGTTTGTCAACCCCTGCTGGACCATAAACTGAACGCAAGGACAGGGATGTTTTTCTGTTTTGTTCACTGATGTACTCTAAGGACTTAGAACAGTGCCTGGCATGTCGGAGGACCTGAATAAATATCCGTGATGAGTGACTGAACCTACTCAATGGCTGTCCTGCAGTTATGCAGCCACTGGATACAACACTGGAGAAAAAGGATGCTATGGAAAAACACTCACGCAATAGTAAGTTTAAAAAGATGTTTACGTTAAAAATATCAAGTATAAGTGTATAAAAAGACTGGAAGGCTATATACCAATGCGATGTGCTTATTTCTACTTTCCTAATTTTCTACAATGAAAATGTATTTTTTTTGGTAAGAAAACAATACGGTTATTTTCAAAAAGGAATACAAGGCATAGGGGTGGAGCAGGGATGGCTGTGAAGAGGTGCGGGGAACTGTGGGGGGCATGGAACTGGTCTGTATCTTCGAGAGTCGTCACATGGGGGCGGATCACTTTTCTTTTCCGGACACTGGTTTCTTTTGTGGCAGAACTGGGGGGCAGAGCTGGTTGGGCTTTGAGGTCCCCGAGATCACAGAAGCTGTAGGCTGAGCTGGGCGTGGGGCCCGGCAGGGTGACTGGTAATTACGCTGTATTATCTTTAAAGTCCAAGCATTGTACACTAAAAAGGGGAAATTTTACCGTACGTGATACCTAAGTGAAAGAATAAAAAGCACCAACTGAAAGCCACCACCAGTGCCAAGTCGGAGCCTCTGGGTGCTTTCCGGCCCTGGCACCGGGCAGGCCCGGCTCTGCGGTGCTTCTCTGCCCCAGATGCAACGCCCGGTCAGTCCCGCTCAGGGACCTGCACTCACATCAGCTCTCCCGACTTCAGCAAGCAGATCTCGGCGTCCTGCCCCAGGGGCATGTCTTCGGTGTCCTCAGGGGTTAGTGAGTTTGACGTGGTGTCCCTGAAAGATCACGAAGGAGAACACAGCCATTTAGCCACCAGCACATAAGGTCCTATATCCCGAGGCTCAGTCTTGGAGTCAGGCGGCTAACCTCAGGACACATGGGGACACTTCGATCCCAGAGGGACCAGGACAGAGGCCCGGGAGGCCATGCACAGAGGGCCAAGGGACGGGGAAAAGACGACAGGGCTGCAGCGATTTCCCTGACGTCTTCCCGGGGGGTGCGGGAAGGGGGCCATAAGGCAAATAGACACCCCGACCCATCCACACCGGCAGAGCTACAGCCACAGGGCAAGTGGCAGCACCACGGACCCCGCCTTCTCAGCACCCATCCACGACCGGGCACCCACTCCGGCCCATCTCTGGGGAACAAGAACAGGCCCCCGGGGCAGACGGAACAGGAGTGGGTGTGAGCCAAGAGGGAGGCCGTGGGACAGTCATGGGCAAAGGAGGCAGTGCGAAGCTACGCCTCCTGTTTCCCTCACCGCCCACTGCCAGCCGTGCGGAGAATCTCAGCGCAGGCATACCGCGGTCCCCAAAGGGTGCCCTGTGGGAAACCAGTGCCAGGGGAGGGGGCACCACATACTCGTCTAGAAAGTCACAGCGTTCTGGAGTAGTAAACTCGAGGCTCTGAGAAGCCCCGCGGCAAAGACATCTATTCAGCGTTAACTCCAGCGTTCACAGATTCACTGGACCACGGAACAGTTTTAATTTTAACCCCTACCGAAATGCTGATCCTTGGAACATACTGGTAGACTGAAGTCCCCCACTTCACCGATGGGAACGCAGAGGCCCAGGCAGGTCCTGGGAGGCGAGGCCAAAATCAGACACCCTGATTCCAGCTGAGTGCTCATCCCGCCGGGCCCCACATCCAGGTTGGCCAATGGCTTATATGATCTCGGGGACCTCAAGCCCAACCAGCTCTGCTTCCCAATTCTGCCAAAGAGGAAACTAGGTCCAGAAAAGGAAAATGATTCTCCCCTGTGGGAAGATATCAATGAAGATGCTTTCCCACCCAGAGGGATTCTTCCTGAAATGTGGCCTTCTGAGAACCCCCTTCTCAGCAGCCCTGGTGAGCTCTCCCTAAATATCTCTGGGGTGATGAGGTCACTAAGCCCCAAACTGCCCCTGCATGCACTCCCGCCTCTCGCCAGCCTGGCCCCCACGCCCTGCATGACCTTGCGTGAACTCAGTTCTGCCCTACCCCCACCCCGCCTACTCCCGACTGTGCCCCAAGTAGTCAGCCCAGGCCCACGCTGCTTAGACACTGTACAGGACACACGAGGTGGGCATGGACCTCGCCCCACACACACCCTCCACTCGAGAACACAGTGCACAGCTGGGGCCTCGCTGGTACCGATCTCAAAGATAAAACAGCCAGTTATATTATACCCAGCAAAATGAGCTTATTCATGAATAGCAGAGAATTACAATTTGAGACAAGGAAGCTATGGGGAACCAGAGGAAAGTCCGAAGAGACAAAAGGAAGGTTAGTTTTTACTAGGTTTTAGGAGGAAACTGTGGAGGGCGGCTCTGGACAAAAGTTCACTGGAGAAGAACAGAGTTCAAGGTTACGGTGATTTCTCACTGGCTGCAGCCGCTGGGGCAGGGAGCGATCGTCCTTCTTTTAAAAGCAGATGAAATTCCCATGTGAAAAATGTCCTCCCTTCTCAAAATAATTCTTAGCTTTCTTCTTCCTGCTGGTTATAAAGCTGCAGCGAGGGCTGCCTGACTCCATTTAAAATGAGGTTTCCTTTATTTATTTTCACATTTCTCCCTTTGGAGCAAGATCATTCCTCGAAAGCCTCACTGATCAAGAGTCAGGTTTTTCTGCATTCAGTGGTTTCGTCCCTTGATGCCAGGAAGCGGCTTTCCAGGTCGTCATGTCCCTCATCTGAGGGAAAGTACAGTGACAGGGGCCTCTCATTTGAGTCACAAGGTAGGGTAGGTGGGAGCACTCTTAGGCAATTCCCAACTGTCAAAGTCCTAAGTGTTGTCTTGAAGCGCTGGTCATCACCCTATCTGGTATATTGTTTCTACAAAGGTTTGACAGGCAACAGGTATAGCTACAACTTAAAAATAATTATGCAAAGCATAGTTAAAAAAAAAAAGTACCATGACAAATCCGGTTTGTACGACGGTTCTAAATCAGGAGCCTGCACCTGAAGGCAGCCAGCTAAATAAATCAAAGATCAAAAGAGTGTCAAGGGAAATTTGTTATAACCAGTGTGCTTGGCCCCGATCTTAACTGAGTTCCTGCCTCTCTAGAGGTATTCGTCCGTGTGCAACAGGTGGTGCCTGCTATCACACAAACGCCTCCTCGTTCAGCAAGCAGATAAGTCAAGGGCCACGTGACTGTCTAAAACTACCTGAGTCAGAATCAAGTGATCGTTGTTGAGATGCTATCGCTTTGGCTGTGGATTCAGCCAGTTTTCCCAGGGTCAGGAAGAGGCTTCTCATGATGCATTCACTGGCACTTGCTCTGACTCACTGGAGAAAAACAGGAGTCACGTACATCCCCTGGAAGTACTGTGGAGGGCTGCTCTGAACAAGAGTTCACTGGAGAAGAACAGAGTTCACGGTTACGGTGATTTCTCACTGGCTTCCGTGGCGTCCGTGTTTAAGATGGCTACAGAGGCTAATGGAGGGGACCGATGGGGGCCTCTGATTTTTTACGAAGGTTAACAGGAACAGGCAAACGTCCCCATAAACACTGACCTCCACGTGGCCAGCTGCCTAAAGCACTCAATGCCCATGGGAAATGCTGTCCGCAGCAAGAAAAAGCGAAACCAGGGGGAGCACTGAGGAGCACCGAGGACTCCGGCTAAGGTCTGGTTATTGATAGAGTCATCGGCTGGAATTTCCTGATCGACCCTTTCAAGCCGTGGGTTAGAGGGATTAACACGACATTCTCTGACAGGCCATCCCTTCCCAAAGGGGCCTTTTTTAAAATCCTTGCAAAGAGGTGTAAACCTGTTCCCAAATCCTTGGGCGATGCAAACTCCCTTGGGTGATCTCCCAAGGGAGACACATCACACTCAGACAAGGAAAAGAACATGGGGGAGCAAAGACAGTCCAACTAGCGAGGACGGAGGGTTGAACTGAGCTCGCATGGTTACCCTGGGAGAGGCTGGAACAAGGTATGGGAACACCTGGCCCCAGAAACACCCAGCTAGCCTAACCCGGAAGGTGACGTCTATAGGCTTGCGGGCACAGTCCACGACGGCATCTGCGACCAGAGAGAAACTGGTTACAGGTAAGACCAAGGGGTCTCCAACATTGTGAACTTTGGGTGACAGTCGAGGAGGTCCCCCTCTTTTTTAAGGGACTGAGAAAGGCAGATAAGGGCACTGTCTTTCCAAGAAAGAGAGAACGAAAGAAAAGCGAGAGGGAGTCGGGGAGACGGTGCGCAGGCCTGGCCTGGTCATCTTTGGAAAGCTGTCTCCTACGGCGGTCACCTGCTTCAGCTCCTGAAAATCTTTATTTTCAGGTCACTGGTTGGTGTGTGGGGCCAGTGAGGGGTTTGGTGCTTTCCTGAGACGTGACACGGAATCCAAGAGTCTGTTCCCAGGAGTTTGGCAGCATGGGGGTTACTTAGCAGAACCTCACAGGCACCTTTCCGACAAGGCTGAAGACAGTCTTCTGGGAATATCTTTTCCAACAGCCAGACTCTCTGGGTCACATGGAGCGATGCTCGAGGCCTCCCGCTCCTGGGAGCGTGCTGTGGAAACTGTTCTGCCGAAGCGCGGTTACCTGCAGCAGAAGCGACATGGCCTTGACGATACTAACGCGAGCTCCCTTTCAAAGGCGTGGGTCAGGAGGCAGGAGCAGCGGGCAACCTGTGACCATCCCAAAGCGCGAGCGCTTACGAGTTCTGCAAGGGGCGGGCCCGAGATCTAAGAGGATTCATGGTGGCGCAGGGCATCTGAAGGGGTTCTGCACATTTTGCCAATTAATAATTCCGTCTGTGTGTCCAGCTGAGGGTTAGGGCTGGTCAACACAGTTGGTGTTCCACCCGCCAAGTAGCACTGACCTGTTGAACCACCTGACCGGTGAAGTGAGTTCTCTGGTCACTATGAAGATCAAGGGTGGGGGTCCCCAGAATTTAGCCACAGAAGAGGCAGTAGTCTGCCTACAAGGGAAAGCTTCGACCCGGTGAGAAGACATAGAAACCACGACTAAAACACATTTCTCTCCATGAGATGGGGTAGCTGCACGAAATCCATTCCCCAAACCTTGGTCTGTCGGATAAGTTAAAGCGTATGCGGGCAGTGTGAACGGGTTTCCTCGGACTGTATTTTGGGCAGGTGTGCAAGGAACGTAGGCACTTTGTGTGGCCTTACTAATCCATAAAGCTTATCGTTTTATCCGCAGACCAATGATTCAACACATGTATCACGGTAATGGGAATATTAGACTCTCTGGCTGAACTGGATTGTTATTTGGCCCAAACCAGAGTTCTCTTTGTATCAAACCAACAGTTATTACATTTCCAATTTTATCTTTCACTTCTTGGGGCCAATTGTTGGACATCTCTACACAGTTTTTCTAGATCATGATTTAGAAAAACATCCCTTTGGACCAAGATAAGGTTCGGTTATTGGTTCCTTTGAGAACAGTGTTCTTGGCAGAAGTATCAGTGAGGGGGTTTTCGTGAGTCTCCGGGGAGTAAGTCTGGAAGGCGAGCATGTGGCGTCTAATAACTTCTGGACAGAGGAGCAATTATTAATTTGTCCTCATCAGAGCTGAGGCAGCCTCGCCGTTTCTACAGCATTCCAGTCACCGTGACTCCAAGGGCGTAACTACCAGCAGTGTAAACATTTAGTCTTGTTCTTGGCTAAAATGCAGGCCTGAGAAAATGTGCAGCTCAGCCAGTCGGGCGGGCCGATGTGGCCCACGGCCGAGGGGCTTCTGCCACACACCCAGCACGATGTTTACCGCTCCGCCCTTTACGTGAGAACCCTCGGAGCACTATGGGAAGTCAGTCTCTCCCCAGGAGT